TATATATATATAAATAACACTCAATTATGTATCAAATTGATTCTTATCACATGATGATTCTAGTAGTCAGGGATTCTTAAATCTTTTGCCAGTGCTACTATATGCCAAATATTAAGCAGTTTTGTACTATTTTAAAGAGGGCTTTATGACAAAATATTAAGGTTCTATATTTGGTTAAATTTTCCTATAAGTATTTGTAGAAGAATAAAATAAGAAAAAGAATTAGATATAACTTTGTGTTGGGAACAAAAACATTAAAATTAGAATAAACTTTCAACTTTTAAATACATACTAGTAACTTGCTTAAGAAACTATAAACTACAAAATAAGGTTTAATACTTCTATTATCCTTTTTAGAACTAACATCTATTACAATTTGAACGTGGTTATTTAAATTTTAGTAGAGGTGGCAAAGCTCGTGTGGTGTAGCCTGGATCAAGCTAGAGGTTGTTTTACAATCAAAATCAAATTATCAACTCCTAACATGTGTAATGTGCACATTTTACATTGATTGTGAAAATGTCAAGTCTTAATTATAAGAAATAAATGAAATTTCTTTAGTCTTAAAATATAAACATCAATTATTGATTTTTAAATAATCAGGATTAATTGTTTTTATATCTTTTATTTATTATTGACTCTAATTTTATTTATTCACTTATAACTAACATTAAATATGATAATCATCTAGATAAATGATAATTATCATAATGTTAATTAAAAATAATTATATTAATTATGATTTGGATTTCTAATTATTTATAATTAAGAATGGAAGTAGTAATTTGATATAGAAAGCCAAAAAGGTATTTCATACCAACCGTGAAACCGATATTACCCTATACCGAATTTTGTTTTCTAGTCAATTCTTCTCACCAAGGGCAAGTATATCTAGGCTTTAGTTATTCTTTTTTAGGTTCGTTCCTGGAGTATCCACCGCCGACAGCAGTGACTAATCTCCTCGCTACGTTGGAGGCACCTCAAAGGGTGGGATAGCTGGCCCCAAGATTTAACGCGGCTGCATACACAAGGCAGGATTCGAACCCCTGACCTTGCTTAAGCGTGGATCAACCCCTACCGCTGAACCACACGCTTGGGGTTAGTTATTCAAATTAATATTAATGATTTTTTTTAATTTTAATTGTAGTTAGTTTTCAACTTTTTTAATGGTTGCTAACATTTATTATGAAAATGACCGATTAAGTTTAAAATTGGGATTGAGCATTATATAAATTTAGAGTAAAATATCCAATATTGTGAAATGGGACAGGTGGGTAGGGTGTCAAAATTCTTAACCTAGCAAGGTTAAAATTTGGGCTAAAACAGACCCTCACATACTTCAGTATACGTAAGTAATTCTGGTAATTTAATCGAGTTGGGATGTTATAAAATCAAATTAGCACAGCTAAAATTTTGATTAAATAAATTTGGTAGACTTGACGACAGGTCAGAAAGCTCAAATTAAAATAGAAGAAAATAACTTGAACAAAAATATTGTAAATAATTACATAAAAATGTAATTTACGGTTATGTTATGAATTTCTATACAATTCTTTAATTTGGTTCTAGTCCTTCAAAAACTTTGTCCTATTTTAATATTTTGGAGATATATAACTTTTAGTCCTCAAAATTATTCATATACAATGCTTTATAATAAAAGAAAGTATAAAAATAAATTGAATGAAAAATATAGTTTTTTTTTAATAATTGTTAACATTATATTATTTTTTAATACAATAAAACATGTTGTTTTTGATTAAATTATATATCAAAGTGTTTATATTTTGAAAATATTTACAAACTTGTATCAATAAGTTATTAGTTTGAGTACTGTTCCCTTAAGTAAAATATCAGAATAATCAATCAAATTTCTCAATAAAAATTAGTTATGAACTGATTTAATCAGTGGAGTTAATGAATACTTTTATGAATAAATTGTTATGAAGTGATTATTTATTTAAGTAATATATTTAAAATGATATATAACGTGCATGATGGGATGGGGTGGATGCTATAGTAATTGAGTTTGGACCCATACCCACACAATTTTGTAAGTATATATTTGTCTTGTACCTAAACCCAAAATTGCAAGTAAATATTAATCTTGCTTGTAGATATTTGTAGACCTTGAGTATACTTTGCCTTCATTTCATGTGTCATATATTGACATAGTATCACTAATAATTGTTTGTAATATAAAAGATATATATTTTTTATTTTTAATAAATAAATAAGTAGTTCAAATGATTATATAATAGTAGAGATTAAAAATAATAGTTCTAAATTTTAGAGGAATAAAAATAAATAATTTTTTTTTTGTAGAAATCAAAATATATTTACTTATTTTACAACAACTAAACATATTATATTGTTAATTA